GGGCATCTTAGTGGAAGCTCCCTTAAACGGCACTTATAAGAAATAGATGAGGTGGCACATGAAAGAATTCAGCCTAGCACCTGGCGCATAGTGGGTGCTCAGTTGGCATTGGTTGTCGTTACCCAGGGTCTCCCAGGGAGACAAGACCATGAACCCCAGAGTCTATAGATCTGCTCCAAAGCCCATGTCTTCATCACTGCCCCCTACTGCCTCCTCACATTAACAAATTTCATGAGGCCTCTTTCATGGACCTTAGGTTCTTTCTGCTCCCATTCTACCTTCTCCTTCTCCTCCACCTCCTCCTTTACCTCTTCTTCCTCCTCCCCCTCTTCCTGTTCCTTTCCTTTTCCTTCTCCTCTTCCTCCTCCTACTCCTTCTTCTCTTTCTTTTTCCTCTTCTTTCTCTTCTTTCTTTTCCTCCTCTTCCCCTTCTCTTCCTCCTCTTTCACCTCCTTCCCCCTCTCCTTCTATTTCTCCCTCTTTCTTTCTTATGGTGTTTGCAGGGTTTTGTTGGCAAGGAATACAAGGCAACTGTTCGCCTAAGCTGGAGGCAGAAGGAGGGGAAAAGGAGGCTGTCCTTCTCCTTGGTCTAGCTTCCACTGTAGTCAGCCCTCGTCCAGATGCCCTCTCCAGTGAGGGCAGATTCAGCAGAGAGCCCCATGCCATCAGGGAAAGGGATTGGCCAAGGCTTGGTGCCACCAACCTCTCTGTCATCCAGTCGGTCCTCTGGCTATGAGAGTAAGCTTCTGAGACATGAGACATGATTCCTGCCAGCTCCCCTTCCTCCCAACTGGGCCACCTACCTAAGTCACTTCAGCTCTGTGAGCCTGTTTTTCCTTCTGAAAAATGGTGATAATAGTTGCTTCTACCTCAAAGAACTATTTTGCGGATCAAATGAGAAAAAAAAACCAACAGCTGTGTAAAGTATGGGATATTTTCTCATATTACTTTACTTTTGTTCTAACAAAAGTGCCTGGCACATAGTAATATTTCCCCTTCCCTTTATTCATCAGCCATCTCAGTTGGGTGGACCCATCCTTCAAAGCCCAGCTCATATGTTCCTTTATTTGTAAAGCCCTGTCAGGCACCAAGACAACACTGGTCCTTTCTCTGTGGTCTTAACCACATACTGTACTTTTCCATCACCACCATAATCACAATAGTCAACAACTGGTTAAGCCTGGATACTGCCTCATCCAAAGGTAGCTGGCCTTGATACTGAAGGCTATCAGGTATCACTCTTTAGTTGCTGAACTATGAGAAAGTCCAGAGGTACCAGGGGAGGGAGGGGATAGCTTTGCTGACGTGGGGGTAGGGTGGTGACAGGGTCTATTAACCAACCAGTGTGCAAGTTTTTGAATATTCTGACAACTAAGGAGAAGTGGTGCTCATTGACTCCATCTCGGCCCTAATTACACTTCCTTCCACTGTACTGCAGCCTTCTGTTGACTACCAGGCTGAGCTCTGGAGTTCAGGAAGAGTGTTTTATTCATCTCTGTCTCCCTGATGCCTTGAACAGAGATGGTTGAGTGGAGATGAAGAACATGAATGAGGCTGTGAAGGGTACCTAAATCATCTCCTTGGGACCCTCCATTTGGATCTGGGCTCTGACTGAGCAAGAGGGCTTCAGGTTATCTTTAGCTCACCAACTAGGATTTCAATAAGACACAACCCTGAATTTGCATATTCATGTATGCAAATAGGCCCCCTGGATGTAATGTGCCAGTCCTTGATTTTTTAAAGAGCCATGCATATGAAATACCTGCAGTGGAGTGTGGCACAGAAGACCCTTTACACTCAGGTTCCTGCTTATCCCCAGAACCCCGTCTCTTGCCCTGGAATTCTGCTTCCATCCCTAACTCCAGGCCTCACTTCCTGCTTCCTTTGGCTGATTCTTGCTCACCACTGGTTTCTCAGTTAGTTGTTGCTTTCTCTGCCCTAACCTAATGCTAACCCTAATTCCTTTCCCTGCCTGCTACCTCCCACCCCATCTCTGGATCTCTGCTTCATTGTTGTGTATTGTCTTTTACAGTCTTTACCTTGTCTGTCTCCCTCATAAGAAAGCACAGACTGTTCTATATTCACTGTATCCCGAGAGCCATGGCAGGGCGGACCCTTGATTATTTTGTGGATAATTGGTAGATCCGAATGAATGATTGAAAGGATTCTTCAAGGGCAGTGACTTTGCTGTTCTCTTTAACAGGGAGCTCAGGAAAATGTTGGGGCCAAGACTTTCAAGAAACCTATGGTCCACCCTGGCAGCTTCATCTACCTCTGCCTTTTGCAAGAGAGAAGAGGAGAAAAGGTCTAGCATGGAGGGCACTCAGAGAGAGTTAGACTTGGGGGTATGTGATGCCCCCAGAAGTCAGACAACCATGAGTAGGGTGGGGCGAGCCTTTCGGGCTGCAGCTGCTGTTAAGGATGGAGGAAACTGAAAGCAGAGGAAGCAGAGGCCCTGGCTCTGGTCCCAAGTCCTGCAAGGACTAGCCTGGGCCTGAGGCCATACTGTTATTACTACCTCTGCTCCAACTATTACCAGTGCTGCTACTATTCTCATTGCTCCCTTTCTATTTCCATGGTTACTATTACTGCTGCCACTGTTATTAGTAGTAGCATTTCTGTCTTTACTTTCATTCTAACAAAAGTACCTGGCACATAGAGCTCTCTCTATCTATGTGTTACAGTCTACTTTTATTTACATTAACTCATCCCATCCTTATAACATACCTCTCATAAGGCATGTCTCACTGTTCTCCTCATTTTGCAGATTTAGAGAAAACTGAAGCACAGAAAGTTTATGTAACTCGCTCAAGGTCCCACAGTTGGTAAGTGCAGAATCAGTCCCGGAAAGCTCTGGTCATAACATCCACTCATATTTGTTGAGTTTTCCCCCTGTGCCAAGCACCGGGCTCAACAGTTTCTATTACTACTTTGCTTTTGTCTTAACAACAGGGTTTTTGAAGAAAAGACTTATTATCTGCATTTTTTTTAAAAAAAACAGATGAGGAAACCGAGGCTTGAAAAGGTTTAAGTAACTCTCCCTAGCTCAGAGCCAGGACTTGACAGCATAAGCACAGCTCCGTGTTTTGAACAAACTCTAACTTGCCACAGCCCACGGAAGTCATTCCTCTTCTCTGTTTTCTCTTCTTGGAATCAGGGTGCTGAGCTCGGTGAGCTCTTAATGCCTGTCCCTTCTAGGTACTGATGGGCTTTCAGCTCCTCTGAGAGGGGTTGGACCCATGGGAGACACTGAACGTCAAGAACCAATAGCCAAACTGGTTCCTTACAAGCTGGTGCGGGAGGACCGCACATTTTTGTGTTTTGTTTTTAGTATCATCCAGCCTTTTGCAACATCTTGATAGGCCTGGTCTGTTAGAAAACCATCCCAGGCAGGGAATCAAACAAGCCAGTTGCTTCCAATGGCCCTTTTTAGTGAGGGTCAGTTGGGGCCACCAAATGGGGTGCCACAAATACCAGGGAAAGACAAGGTGATTTTTACTCATTTAAATTCTTATGCCTCTTCTTGCTTCTATTTTAAACTGATTTCTAACTTTGCAACAATTCCCCTGGGAGACAGATGAGCTTGGCACGCCCCTTTTCCAGGTTTGGAAGCCGAGGCTGGGAGGGGTAGAAGGAATTGTCCAGCTAAGCCAAAACTTGCACCCACCCAGGCCTCCACACTCTCTGCCATGCTGGGAAGACCTTTTATAAAACATCACTGGAATCTGCAAAATACTCAGCAACCACAAGGCACTTCTATAAAGGGGGGAGGGAGCTGAGAAAGTTATGGATGGTTCCAGCTAGGCAGAGGATTTGGACAAAACGAGACCTTGGTGATCCAGGGTGCCTTGCCTGGTAAAGAAGAGTTTCCCAGAAGGCACTGCAGGTGATAACTTGTATCAACCAGGCCCAGCTAGTGTTTATCATGGCCTTCCCTTCCTGCAAGCACCCTGAGCTTCTCCTTTCTTTCACCTGAAATTTTCAGATTCACTCGTAGCTAGAGGAGACCTAGACTGTAGTCTAGGTCAACGTTGCATTTCTTCCTGTTTGTGTATCTGTGCCTTGAGCATCAACAAAAGGCCTTCACATACTTTATCTTATTGGATGCCCCCAACAGCCCCATAGGCAAGTGGTACTACTTCAAGTTTACCAATGAGAACACTGAGTTTCAAAGAAGTTAAGCGGCTTTCCCATAGCCACACAACCAGCAAGCAACAAAGCTAGGACCTGAGTTCAGATCCAACTCTAAATCCCTTGCTCAGGAAACTTCCTGGTGTCAGGCTGTCTGAAGTCACATTCCAGCTCCTCCTTGTTGCCTAAAGGAGCGTTACAGGATTCCGTTCAATGCTGGGTTGCTAAATCGGATTCACTCGTGCTTTGCCCTCTGGCTTTACCCCGGACCGTAATCTCTCTGAGCCTTGGTTTTTCTGTCCCATCTGTGGAAGGGACTCGTGAGAGCAGTCACGCCCCCAATTCTCTGAGGCCTCGTGTGAACACATGAGAGGTCACAGATCAAGCGCTATGAGCTCCTTGAAGGAAAATTCTCATATACATTCAAGGCCGTGTTTATATAGGTGAAATCAAATCCCAGCCGCTAATCAATGCTGCAGGCTAGCTGGCATCAAAGACGCAGACTTCACTGAAATGCTGGAATGCCTCTGGTACATCAAAGACCCCCTCTTTTCCTCCCTCCCCCAAGAAACCTCCTTACAGTGTCTTCACACATGCATTCCTGCAGATGTCACTCTGGAGACCAACATGTATTTTTCAATGTTTCCCTGATAAAAAGCCTGGGTATGTTAGCTTTACTTCTCCCCCAACTGAAGGCTGCCAAAGGCTGGTGAATGACCCTTTGGTTGATCAATAATGAGGCCTGAAAGCCAGTAGGGTATTTGCCCAAAACTGAATTAAAATGTGCCGTACACTGCCCTGAACTTGTGTCTCCACCTCCCCCCAGTGTCATGGCCAAGACTGGCCGAGGAGGCTGTGTGGAATACTTACTACACCCCTGGCCGACAGGAGGCTGAGCATCTGGAGGGGCTGGCTGGGCGGGTGGCTGGAGCGGGCCTCGGGGCTGGCCTTGCCGAGGGTCTTGGAGCAGCGGTGGGAGCGCCTTCGGCGGGACTTCCGCCCTTCCTCGGGGGACCTGCCGCGGTGCCTGGGGGGCAGGGGAGACAGACGTGAGGGTCTTTTGAAGGGCAGCGTAGCAAGAGGGGTGGCTGTAGAGCCAGTCGGATCTGAGGACTGTGGAATGTGTTTGGGTATGTTTGTGTGAACTACGTGTGCTTCCATTCATCCATCTGTCCGTCTGTCCATCTGCTCCCCTGCACCTGCCCATTCCTTCCTTCCTTCATTCACTCTCTCATTTGTTCATTCCACAAGTGTTTATTCATGTACCTGACACTGTCTTGGGGGCTGGGGGTGTAGCTGGGAAGATAGAAAACGTCCCTAGCCTGATTTGGTTTAGTGTCCGTTGTGTGTGTGACTGTCAGTATGCTTGTACATGACCGTGTATATGTCTGGGTGTGTCCATCTGTCTGCCTATAGATACGACTGGGCATATCTGCATGTCTTTGTGTATGTGACTGCCGTCTGTGAAACAGACGCATCCTATATTGACTGCCACCCAAAACTGGTGGAAAAAAGTAGCCGACAAAAATGACAAAGATGCCTTGTGTAAGATTGTCGGACCTGGCCGTCCTGTCTGCAGCAGAAACCAAGGGAATCTCTGACTCTTTAGAAAGGGCATATTCCACTAGCCTGTTAGCTCTGGGCCACAGTAGTAATAAAACTAACACCTTACTGATTTGCATGGCACTTGCCCTCTTAGGGCATTTCTGCAGCTTGAAGATACAACACAAACAAGATACAACACAAACAAGGCAGGTTATTTCCCATTTTACAGATGAGAGGCTGAGGCTCAGTGCTGTTCAGGAACCTGCCTGAAGTCGCACAGCTTGAAAGTGGCAGAATCGGGGCCAGGGCAGACTTTTCCGCCCTGGTAGGAAGCAATGCCTCTTGGTCATGCTCTGACACGTCCCTCTGTGCTCTGGGACCTCCAGATCATTTTCCCTGGCTGTGTGGCCAGTGCCTAGTGGAGCGTCCCTCAGCCCGACATGCACTGGGGAGCTCAGGCAGCAACGCCACCAGGAGAGGTAACCACAGAAAGGGGCTGAGGCTGGGCTCTGCAGTGGTAGCCATGTCGCCTAAGAGGTAAGATAGAGGGCAGTGGATGGAGTGTCTGCAAGCTCTCTGCATGGTCCTCTGACTCTGGCCAGCAGGGCTTAGCTGCTGAGAGCTTATTCAGCCTGGGCCTGGGGTGAAGGGCTCAGGCTGGGTCCCCTCTGGACCAGGGTCCCTGTCCCAACTCTGCCAGTCACTGTGACCTTGCTCAGATGCCTTTGCTCGCCACTGGAGTTTTCTGCATTTCCATGTCAGTAATGCAGCTGAGCACTTTGCGCCAATGCCCTCCAGACACAGGCCACCAGGAGCACGCCTGCGGCTGAATAAGCAAGTTTACTGCTCCCTGCAGTGAGGGAGAGCACACACCAGACGGAAGTGTAGACTGTCCCTGTTCGAGAGTGCCCTGGGCATGTGGCAGGTGACTTTAAGGAACTGGGACGTTGTTCTGGATCGGATGCTGGCATTAAGTGGAGGTGATACTCTGACTGGGGATCTTCATAAATCTTCAGAGCCCAGACCAAGGCCAAGGCTAAAACTGGAAAAGAGGGGCGCCTGGGTGGCTTAGTCGGTTAAGCGTCCGACTTTCGCTTAGGTCATGATCTCGCGGTTCGTGGGTTCGAGCCCCGCGTTGGGCTCTGTGCTGACTGCCAGCTCAGAGCCTGGAGCCTGTTTCAGAGTCTGTATCTCCCTCTCTCTCTGACCCTCCCCTGCTCATGCTGTCTCTCTCTCTCCTAGAAATAAATAAAAATATTTAAAAAAAAAAACTGGAAAAGAAACAACAGTCCCTCATGCTAGCCAGGATAGACAGATGCTGGGTCACTTTTGTTGTGGACAAAGTTCCTGTTTCCTCTGGGCTCCGACCTGATGACAGAGGGGTTCTCGTTTTGTCTTGACCACTCAGGGCTGGAGAGCAACCTGTCTGATGCCCATGCTCTTTACGGTTTTTGGTGTTTAGGGGAAACAGGAGGACCTACTGGCAACGGCACACGTCAGGGTCTGCTTTTCTGTTCTCAAATGCTTCTTACCCTTGGCTCCACATTTGCATCATGAGAGAAGATTTAAAAATCTCGCTGACCCCGCCCCACCTCATCTGAGCTAGATCAGAAAGAACATCTAGAGGGTGAGGTCCAGGAATTTGGTATTTAAAAATTTTTCCAAGGTGACTGCCAAGTGCAGCCAAAGTGGAGAGGTCCTGGTGTAGTTTATAGTGCGATCGGGATGATCAAGAGAGAAAATGTGGGGCGCCTGGGGGGCTCAGGGTTTGTGGGTTTAAGCCCTGCATCAGGCTCTGTGCTGACAGCTTAGAGCCTGGAGCCTGCTTCAGATTCTGTGTGTGTATGTCTCTCTGCTCTTCCCCTGCTCATGCTATCTCTCTTTGTCTCTCTCTCCAAAAATAAATAAACATTACAAAAATTTTTTTAAAAGAGAGGAAATGTATTTGAAACTGTAGCACACTGCCTGCAGGGACTAGGAAAATATTCCCCCTCTCCTCTGCTTCCTTCTTTCTCCAGACATTGTTTTAACTGGAATGAGGTGGGACCTGGACAGTGGCATTTTATTTTACTTTATTTATTTAAAATTTTTTAAAAAATTTTATTTATTTATTTATTTATTTAGAGAGTCAAACATCAACATCAACAAAGCCGCACTCCTTTTCTTCTCAGCCATGAGCAAGCCCTCCTCCCCTTTCTGAGGCCAGGACAGCCAATGAGTCAGCACAGAGAGGGTCCTGGTTAGGAGAAACCTGAATCGCAAGGGCCTCAGAACGAGTACTTTCTGCTGTGTGGCCTTTCATAGGCTGCTCAGCTTCTCTGTGCCTAGAGTAACCCTTAGAGCGCCAAGTCCAAAGCCAGACTCCGCAGTTCAATCTAGCTCTGTCACTTAGTAACTGATTAAAAAGTTCCTTAACCTCTCTGTGCCTCAGTTTCCTCATCTTTAGAATGGGGGATAACAACGGTCGCTACTTTATAGGGTAGTCAGGGGCTCGTGCAGTTGACTCAGGGAGCGGGCTCAGCAGCGCACACCGTGGCGTGCGGGCGGGCACTGGCGCTGAGGGAGCGCACGCATGCGCACACTGTTGTTCCTGCGTGCGGAGGTGCTGACAGTGCCAGGTAGGGGCGGGGAGGCTCCCCGGGGCCAGGGGTTACCTGCTCTCACAGCTTGAGGAGCGGGTCTCCGAACTCTGGGACCTGGAGGGGCAATGGTGATGACGGTGACGGTGAGACTTTCGGGGCCGGCTTCGTGATCTTGGGGGCAGTGAGAAGGAGGGAGTCGGAGGGGGAGGGGGAGAAGGGGGAGGGGGAGGGCGTAAGAGGGGGGAGGGAGGAGGAGGGGGAAGAGGTGAGGGAAGGGGAGTAGGACAGGGAGGGAGAAAGAAAGAGGAGGGGGGAAGGGGGAGGGGGAAGGGGAGGGGGAGAGGAAGGGGGAGGGGAGGGGGGAATAGGAGAGGGGAGGGGGAAGGGGGAGGAGAGGGGAAAAGGAGGAGACAGAGAGAGGGAGGGAGAGAGAGATTTTGATCTTGTGACATACATGACATACATCTTCTTCTTGCACCTGATTCACTGTCCCTCCCAAAGTTGGGCATCTCCCCCTACTCACGCCCCGCTCCACCACACCCCAGCTCTTTGGGCGTCTGGCCTCTCCAGCCAGCCGTACTGAACACAAGTGAGTGGCACGCAGTCCTTTGGAGCAGCCTGGGACTCGGGTCTCAGATTCCCACCCTGCCGAACCCACCCGCCCACACCTGACAGGTGTCTCGTCCCCTCTCCCCCACCTAAGGCAGGGGTCTCAATCTCGGTCAGCCACCACAATGTGCGAATCAGCCAGGCAAGAGCTAAAGAAAGAAGTGGCCTTGCCTCGGGAATATTGGCGGGGAGTTGGAGCTTCTAATTCTATAAGTGAATGTGGAAATACAGATTTTTTTTAATGTAAAATATTCCTATTTTAAATGGAAGGTCATTTTTTAAAAAGACACTGGGGGCGAAGAAGGCACATTTGCAGAGTAAATTAGGCCTTTGGGCTGCCAATTTATAACCTCAGACCTGGAAAATTAAGTCCAGATTCTTCGCATGGAGTCAAAAGCCCCCTTTCAGAGTTATAAACATCGCTGGCAACAAAAACTGTAACAATTAACAACCACCACTACCACTAATAGTGCTGTTATTATAGGTCACTTCAGTTCCCCCTAAATGATAATAGTGACTCAGAAGTAGTAGCAGCAGAGACCATGGTCATGGAGTGTGTACAAGGAATGTGAATGGTTTGGGCCAAGGCAGGAAGTCAGTGGGAGTTAGAGAGGGCTCTATTGGGAGGTAGCATGGTTATTCCAACAAGGGACTCAGGGATTCTTGTTTATGTGATAAACTGACCATATCCCTTCCCTGGTTAAAACCATCCCAGTGCCCTCATGTCGAGCCTGCATTCTGACCCTGAAGCCCAAACAGCTGGAGGAGTCAGCCCCTGCCACGCTCTCTCGCTTCTTTGTGTGACATCTCTTGCTCCGGCTGGGCAGGCTCGAGCGAGTCCACACTGCGTGTATTCTGGCTCATATATGTCCCAGTCCATGATGTCCTTCTGAGGATGATGATGACAGGTAGCCCACATTTAACACATACCGCCTGCCAGGCCCCACAGTCTAAATGGACCCGTCTCTTCCTTCACAACAACAACAACGCATGAAGTCGCTTCTCTTACTTCTCAGATGAAGAAACTGAGGCAGAGAGTTTAAACCACTTGCCTAACCTGCAGCCCAGAATGGTTACCTCCATTCTCACTCCCAATCTAGACACTTCCTCCTGTAGGCAGCCGCTGCTCACTACCAAGCCGGCCACCATGCCCTGGGCTCCTAGCTGCCCTCACTGTGCCATGACCTGTCCCATCTGGTTCCTGTGTTCCACTAGGAACTCTGAGCTCCTTGAGTCTGGAAGAATATTTGGCCAAGCTCTCTCCTTGGGCCGAGCCCAGGGCCTGCCACGATTTAGGGCCTTACTAAGGGATGTTGAATACAAGAAGGCCAAATCTCCCCAGAGATCACTTGTTCAGAAGCATCCCCGACCACAGAATTTGGCAAGAACCATCCTTTATCTTAGGGACGCCTTGTTTTTCTTGCTTCTCCCTCTCCTGATGCTTGTCTTTTGCATCACCTAGCAATTTCTGGGCCTCATCCAGCTCTTGGCACCAGCGAGGGTGGCCTCCTTGCTGCCTTCAAGCAGTCAGCCTCAGTGATGACCACCCCCACGATCCCCACCAGTGCTCTTAGAGTCTCAGTCCAGCCCCTGGCTTTGTCTGTCTATACTGCAGCCCCACTGCACAAGTGATTCCAAGGTCTCTGACACTATGTACTCGGTCTGCGCTTGGTGTGAACGCACATTCAATACATATGACCAATAATTGCCTTTTGACTTGAACTGAACAAGCTTGATGATCGGAAAGCTGTTCTCTGAGCTAATTCAAAGCTCTACGGCTTCTTTCTGGAGCATTCCCCAGGCGCCTGTGGGGTGGCTCAAACGCCCTCCTTTGCACTGACCTTGGATGAAGTGACCCCTCAGGCAGCAAAGCAGGGTGCCCTCCCTCTGTGTCCCTGCCTCCTCTTTTCCCTCCCCAACAGCCAACTGCATTTCATCTTATTGCCTTTGATCCTCACTTTAGAAGCTTCTTGGCGGGAGATAAAATATTAGTTGATTGGAAAACACATGCACTAACATTTGCGGGGTATAAAGTAGGTGGGTTGTAACCACATTTACTTTTAATTTGTCTGGGAACTGAACTCTGCAGGCAGCGCTAGCTGATTTGAATTTCTACTACCAGCTATAAACCGTGAACCAGCTGGGGCCCCGAGACCGGAGGTAGGAGCTTCGCTGAAATCTCCATGACGTAAGCCCCGCAGCCAAGGCTCGGACTCACATGCACACTCACGCGTGTTCTTGCACATGATCGTGCCCCCATAACCACTCATGTACATACAGCACACCTATGTGCACAAGTAAGAACCACCCCACACCCTCCATATGCATAATGCACACAGGTGGATAAGTGGTGCACATGCAGAGTGCAGAAAATCGTACAGGAGCACCTTTATGTACATGGTTCACACTCCTGTTTACATAAGCAGGAGCATACAGAATGCTTCTGTGTGGACACAAATATACACCACACACACAGTACCCCCATTGCATAGATTTATACACACCATACACACAAATGTTTGCAGGATGTTTGCAGACGTTTGCAAACAACGTGAGCAATATACATATACACCTTTCATAGAAATGTATCCGCAATGCACTCCAGGCACACAGATGCCCATCATTCACTTTCACGCATACACAAACACACGCACAGGCCCATCATACACGCAACCTTGTGCATTCACACATACCCAAACGCACAACTGCCGTTCACCCCTCTGCCTTTCCCTGCCTTCCTTCCTCTCGCCCACCCCCACCCCATGTTTATTTGGCCACTCGGACACTCTGCTATGAAGAGGTCAGGTTCCCCGCCTCCCCTGAAACTGGAGAGAAGAATGTTCCAGGTGGTCCCTACTTACTGTTTTTTGTGCCTCTTCTCGTCCCTTCTTTTGCTTTTTGGGCTGGAGGAGCTAATGGAGAAATGGCCAATTAATTAAAAGATGCAGAATCCCAGTTCCAGATAAAAAGAGACAAGTAGCTAAGATGCTTAACACACCGGGGTTACCAGACCCAGGCAGTTTGGGAACAGATGCTAATCATTTCCAAGACCAGAGCAGTCACCGCTGATTTTTTCACCTGGCAGGTTCAGCTAGAGACAGTGACCCCCACACACAGACTGAGAATGAGGTGTGCTAGGGGCCACGGCCAGCTCTGGGAGCTTAATAATAACGGTCATAAATAAAGGTAATAATAATACCTGCTGCCTTTCAAGGATTTGTTGTAAGCAAACGCTCTGCTAAATATCTTCATCAACAGTCTTATTTTACTCTGTAGGGGAGGCACATTTATTTAATACATATTCATTTTACAGATGTGGGAAACTGAGCCTCAGCTAGGCTGAGAAACTTGACCAGGATCACACAGGTGAGCTACCATGTGGCCCCAGACCATGGGTCCCCAGAGTCTACACTACTGACTGATGTTCAATTTATAAGAGCAAAGAATGGAATATGTAGGGAGATACTCTGAAGCTCACGAGGCTTGGCTGATTCTGAAACGTATTGCCCATGATTATTGAAGTATCTGTTGTTGTTATTTAAGTCAGAGGGCTGGGGTATGGATGGGTCCAGTGGACAGTGATAAGCGGGTTCCCAGCATTAACAACTAGTGTGAGTTCCCAGCATTCATGCCCCAGAGGGTGAATGCTATTTGGTAGTTGAAGCCAGACTGGCTTCAGAGGGCCACCAGGAATGCAGGACTAGCCTAGGTCCTAGATAAGGGGAAAACCTTACACAACTGCTATTGCTCCTTGACGTTAGCTGTGTGATTTCTCTCTGTGTTTGAAACTCAGCTGGGCAGTGGAAGAGCCCAGGACCTCACTGAAATATACAGGTTCACTTCCCAGCTTTGCGGCTCAGTCGCTGTGTGACATCAGGCAAGTTGCCTGTTCTCTGGAAGACCCAGTGTCCTTGACCGTGAGGTGGGGCCATCGCTCAGGCTGCTGGGCTGGGAGACTGGCTGACATTGGTAATCGATCTCTACCTGTTAAGTGGATAAACAAAGGACTTTGCAGTCTGCCAACTGCTCTAGGTGTGGCTGTTATTTAAGAAGCCACTGTAGGGTGTCCTGGTTCTGTGTTTGACAGACGTGGGTTGGAATTTTGGCTCTGCCACCTAACTGTGTGTCTGTGGACATGCCTGTCACATCTGTCTGAATCTCAGTTTCCTCGGGGCGCCTGGGTGGCTCAGTCGGTTAAGCGTCCGACTTCGGCTCAGGTTATGATCTCACAGTTCGTGGGTTCGAGCCCGGTGTCAGACTCTGTGCTGACAGCTAGCTCAGAGCCTGGAGCCTGCTTCGGATTCTGTGTCTCCCTCTCTCTCTGACCCTCCCCTGCTCAAGCTGTCTCTCTCTCTCTCTCAGAAATAAATAAAACATTAAAAAATTTGTCAATCTCAGTTTCCTCATCTGTAAAATGGGAGAATAAATATATCCAGTGTACAGGGTTATAACGGAGATCAGTGGAGGTTACATATGCACACACACGGCGGGGGCTTCATGCAGGATCCAATTTATAGCGAATACCCTGTAGATGACCGCTCTATATGTGCTCACCTAGTGCTTCCAGTCCAGTAGGACTTGGCCTCTGTCCTTTGGCTAGGATCTGGGAAGACTCTGGTGGGGTGGCTGGGGCTGACGGTTCCCTAAGTGCCCCAACCCAGGATTTCAACTGGTGATAGGACAAACAGACTCTGACCAGGGTAGTGAGGCTTTCCAGGGAGGGGTATTGGTGGGGGCTGGTCCAGGAGCGACCGTCCAGCTTGATGGAAGGCAAAAAAGCTAGCTTGGAACTTTCAGGGAAACCAGACTAAGGCCTTCATTTTGGAGGAAACCGAGGCCAGGAAGATGAAGGGGGTACGTTCAAGAGCACAGAGATGGAGACGGAGAACTGACTCTAGAAGCTGCCTAAAACCTTGTTAGAAAGCAGGAGGCAGAAGCAAGCAGCCAGAAGCGAAAAGGTTCTTACCTGTGCCTTCTCTTCTTGGAGAATGACCTGATTAAAGGAATTAAAAGGAAGAGAGATAGGGAGGGAGGGAAAGAAGAGAGGAGGAAGAAAGGAAGGAGGGAGGGAAGAAAATAAATACAGGTGAGTCTGAGGTTTGTTTTCCTGGGACAAACGTATCAGCGCATTTATGATCATGCTACGTGGGGGTTGGGACACCTGGCGAATCCTCCTTCTCAGAGACTTCGGACTATGGAGACCATATGGGAGATACTGGTTTGCATTTTGAATTTCAGGGAAAACCACCAGCGCTTCAATCCTCACCCCAGAATTGTCAGTGAGCCTGTCTCAGGTGGGGGTGAATGAGGGGGATACACGAGTCCCCTACCTCCTCTCCTACCCCCAGGTGAAGGTGAGCCTAGTTTCTTCATCTTCCTCCTCCTCATCATGGGACAACCAGCCTCCATATGTGGAACTTAACTGCACCAGGCTCCACGCTAAGCGTCTCAATCTTCACCCAAGCCCTGGGAAGTTCTAGTAACAACCGTTTTGCAGACGCTGAAGCTCAGAGAAGTTAGTTAAGTTGCCCAGGGTCACACAGCTCCACCCGTGTAAGTCCTATGGATTCTTCAGAGCTCCGCTCAGATATCACCTCCTTGTGGCATTTTCTGATGCCCTCAGGCTGGGTGGGTGCCCCTAACCCCCGCTTGGGTGAGCTTCTGAGCTGAGTCATTTACTACAGATCCCTGCACATTATAATTATTCATCTCCCCCATTAGAATGCGAGCAACTTGAAGGCCAGGGCTGGATTTTGGTCACTGTGCTGTCCCAGAAGCCCAGAATCCTCATTCATGACATATACTGGGTATTCAATAAACAGATGTGAAAAATAGGATTTTTTTTTTTAGCCCTGAAGCCATGTTAATGGAGGGGAGAGAAAGAAAAATTTCTATGATTCCCCCCACTAGCTCATATCTCTGAAAAAGTCCATTATCATTAACCCAACATTTCAAGAGCTTGGAGAAGTGGGGCCAGAAGTAGGGGTGATGCCTAGCAGGTGTTTTGGAAAATACCAGCAACACCATTTCCTCCTCCTAATCTCCCACTTAATGAGCTTCCTTCTCTCTTAAGCTCCACCTCCTGGGCCAAGCGTCGCTGGCAGAAGAAGCAGTTCCTAAGTTTCTGGCATAGTCTCTTTCTCATGAAGAGAAACCCTTGAGTGAGAAGCCACTTGACTTCCAAGATCTGGATATGGAAAGGTCCCCCCAGATAGGACAGACTGGTCAGCAGAGGAAGGTTACAGGAAGGCAGCTCAGTCACCGGCAGGCCATTGCTGCCACAGGGGACCCCACGTCGGGAAAGGTTTCTAACACCAAATTACCGACATTTCGCTAACCAGCTTGCCCACATCTCGTGTTAAGCGTGTTCTCATCCACAGTCGGAATGTCTGGGCAGGCAGTGGACACAGCTGGTGAAAACAGACTGAGTTGAGACCATTCTGGCAACAAGGGCTGAGACGTGGCCACACCGCTGGCTTGGGAAAAGCCACTGTGGGGCAACGTTGAACCAAGGGTGAGATGCAAGGGGGAAACCCACGTGAACTCTTCTCTTTTGTTCCCCTGTGATTGTTTAATTGCACAAGTAATCCACCACTGATGGAGGCTGACTGGAAGATGGGGATAAGCCAAAAAAGAAAGGATAGATAATACTCTTTCCCTAACGTCCACAGCCAAACACAGCAAACAAAGAACTTACACTGGGAATTTCAAACTCCCTGCCCCCAGGGGCCAAGCAGGCATCGTACATGTGTGTAGGTGAGGGGGAGTCTAAGGGGGTTTGTGGCACCCCAGAGCGCCTACGCTCTGTCTAAATGCACAGCGATTCCTCAACTCTAGCTGGCGGCCTCCTGTGGGAAAATTGGTCCAGTGAAATCCAGATGGCCAACAGACACACGAAACGATGCTCAGCATCCCTCCTCATCAGGGAAATACAAATCAAAACCACACTGAGATACCACCTCACACCAGTCAGAGTGGCTAAAATGAGCAAATCAGAGAACTCTAGATGCTGGCGAGGACGTGGAGAAACGGGCACCCTCCTACACTGTTGGTGGGAATGTAAACTGGTACAGCCCCTCTGGAAAACAGTGTGGAGGTTCCTCA